GTGTCACTCTCCCCATTCCCAAACCATCACTATTGCAGTACAGCAAATTCGGAAGAAAGAGTCAAAACTAAACACCAATGGTTAAAAACCAGAAATGATTTTTAAATGATATATATTCTGGAAGAATATACTGTATATATTATTCCAAGTACCCTTGAAACTCAGGCAGCACCAAAATTGGCTTATTCTAAAACAAGCACATGAGGCAAGGAACACACAGTATTCACCATCTGGCTAACAAAGCCTGTATTTAATACTTGATATTGAGCTTCTTCTAGCATACTGTGATAATACAGAAAACTTTTGTGGAACAGTTTCCATGTCTAAGCTAATACTTTAGGCTTCTACTGACATGGGAAACCTCCAGCATTTAGATCATTATACCATATTGCCATTGGCTCAACTTTTAGGATGTTAAAAATGCTACTTCTTTTATTCTCCTGCTCTCTTTTCATAACTAGATGAACATATACATAAATGAAAGGTACAATACATGCATATGTATACATATACATCTAATTCTAACCACAGGTAAAATGCTCTTTTAATACACAGCTTGTACCAAATTAACCGTATATTTTTCAAGAAATGGACAAAATGATAGCATGTAGATTAGTACATTTCTTAACATGAAATTTTGCAAGGAAAATAATGATTTATTTTCTTAGCATATTCACTGTTTGAATGCATATTATTCAAGCACAGGGCATGCCATATCTAGTTTTCTTGCCCTCATTCATTAGTTTTGTGAAATAGTCATTATGAAAAGCTTTATATATATATTTTGCAGTCACAGTTTCATTTAAGTATGAACATATAAAATGTGAATAGATATGAAAATGAAGGAGCTTGGGTTAAAATGATGATGACCTCATTTTATTCAAGTTCTCATGACCTATGATTTTGTCTGCATATCTAGACTTTTAATATTGAAGCCTTACAAAAATATTTATGGTTACTTGATTAGTATATTGTTTGAAATATCTGATTAAGCAAATATCTTCTGGATGCAGTATTCTTTGCTGGAATTCCAGTAACTAAGAATTTTGATACCATTGAGAAGACATGAAGTTATAGTTCATCAGAGGTCTATCTTTGGTCCTCCTAACATACTAGAGTCACATATTAATCACTGTACAACTCATTAGCATTGTACTTTGCACAGTGACTTAGATTACAATCTGAGGCACACTAGAGCATAGGTTTTCTGCCACTGACACAAAAAGTTTCAGGATGCATATCCACAGTCTTAAGATAGTGATAGCAGGAAAACTGTGCCTTTGTTACAGTCTAATGTCTGGAACAATTTCTTCATGATAAAACAAGGCGCAAAGGGAAAAGCGGGGTGCGAAATGCATAGAAATCTTAATTTCAGGAGACGTGAATACTATATATAATCTGTTTCTTGCTTAAGGGATAACAAGAGAAAATAACAAGTGATTTTCCTCTTCCATGAAGGGCAAAATTCAGAGAGGTCAACATTAATTTTACTAACCCAAGTATATTTTCTTGGTGACTTTAGAAAACTGACATTTTCTGGAACTAGAAAGTTATATAAGGATTTCCACTGCTAAACTTCATTCTGCTGTAGAAAAGAAATATGGATAAAGTAGTATCTGTCTGGCAACAGAATACAGGAAGAATGTCCATGTCTATTACAAATTATTCTATGTTGAATATAAACAAGCAACAGGTATAAGATTATTATTTAAAGATACCAATGTTAACTCTTTCCTATGGACAATCATAAGTTTACACAATTTGTTTTGGTGCCAAAGAGTTGAACTATCCAAAGTGTATGGGTGCAATTATTTTGCCTGAGAACTGCTTGCAATTTAAAGAAGTCATTTTTAAAACCCCAAAACAATGTTTTAGCTCATCACAATTATTGAGTTCATGACTTATTTCAATGCCAACTCTTGAAAGAATGATAATATTACATGTCAACAAGATGACTCAGCAAGCTTAAGGTATGCATTGCATCAGCCCACAATATTTGCATTTTTGTAAACAATCTTACTTTTTTCCTTGTTTTAGCTTTCCAATGCAGCCTTGATAGTTGCCATCCCAACAAGTTCAAGAGAAACAGCAGAATTTATGTATAAAGAACTTTAGACCCTCTTTGAGGCAAAAGTGGTTCTTGGGCAAAAAATCTAACTGACTGATCAACCCGGAATGTACTCATAACTACTGTTCTTTAAGTCAGATTTAGAATATTCATTTTGGGATCTTCATTTTGCTTACATTGTTGCTGAGAAATGTTCACTGCAGCATCATATTACTTTGGTTTATATCATTGAGTGGACTTTCCATAGCAACACATTTACAGGTACAGAATATTAAAAGGTGAAGTTTTAAATAATTCTTTAAGCAATCCATTCATAACAATCTATTCATGAATAATAGCAGCTTTTATTGTTGCTATAATAGGAAAAATCCCCATCAAAATACATACGCGCGCGCACACACAGACACAGACACAGACACACACACACACACACACACACACACACATACATACATACATACATATACATATACATATACATATACATATACATATACATATACATAT